CTTTTATAATCACTTCATTTCTTCTACTATTTCTAATTGGAGAGCTTCTACAACACTCTGAGGCTTGGAGTCTATTCTTACCTATTGTACATTTCATTTATTAATGAAATTATTTCTTATTAAAATTATTAATAATAATACATCTACTAAGTCCAGAAATGCATGCATCAACAGTAAAGATTCAAGAGAACAACCAAATCTCTTGCAGTTTGAAACAATTCCCGAACGTTGGATGCACTTTGCCCAACCCATAGTCCAGGCTCTAATTCTTGGGCTTCAACTGTAACAACTGGTACTTTCGCTTCTGCGGCTATGGCCAGCGCAAGAGATGTCTTTCCTGTTCCCCTCTCACCAACAATTAAGACCCCCTGCAATAGGTCGAGCATAAACAAAATACAACAAGCTCCTCAAATCATGAGACGAAACATAAGAAATGCTATATCAAACACTGCAACAGAGTGTGTGTTATCCAAAGATGGAAGGAATGCTCATAAATATAATGTGATAGAAACGCTGAACAAAACCCAGCTATATTATTTGTTGATGCCTTTTAAGGGCCAGATTCCCATATTAAGAAACATACATTCTAATGTTTTTTAAAATAAGAAATCATTTCGAAATTACAAAAATAAACCAAAAAGACTTTCAGAAACATTCTAATTGACAGACAGTGTTTTCGAGGAGCACCCGGGCGCTCGCCTCAGGCGAGAGGCGAGGCGTTTTCACCCAGGTGCGCCTCGCAAGGTGCCCAGGCGAGCGCCTTCAATCGGGCGCTCGCCTTTGGGCGCCTTGGCGCGCCTGTCGCCTAAGGCAAGGCGATCGCCTCCTTCAAGGGGGCGATCTGCCTTATTTATTTTTTAATTTTTTTTAGTTTTTTATTTGTTGTTTTTGTAAAACACCCTCCCCTACGCGACCCAAACCCTATTTCTGCCTCCCCTCCCTCTCGACATTCACCTTCACGGGCTTCAAGCCTTCACCACCATCAATCTCCGCCGTTGCTTGTCTTTATTTTGAACTAAACTTATAGAATTTAGTTGTTTTATGTATCTTGTTGACATTTACTATTGTGGTATTAATTTTTTTAAGGTAATTTATGCACCATATATATAATTTTTACTTATTTATTAAGGTGCATCTCACTTCAATCGAGCGTCGCCTTTGTATCGCCTCTCGCCTCAAGGCGATCAAAGGGCTTGTCGCCTTGCGATGCGCCTTGCGCCTCGAAAACACTGTTGACAGGTATAGATAAAATGGAGTAATTACAAAAGAAATAAATATATAAATAAATAAAACCCTAAGATGTGAGCCACCAAGAGGAAGCTGATAATAAAGTAGAATCCCAGATGGAAGCATTATTCCTCTATTCCATTTTGATCCTCTTATTTTGCTCCAACTAAATTTGCCAAACATGAACACCCCAAACATGTAACCTTTAGACTTTCTCTTTCTAAAACCAATGACCATTGAGAGAACTTGCACGACAAACTAACCAACAGTACAAGAGCATCAAGATGGATGAAAATTAACACATCAACAAGTCTTTTCAAAGTCTGGAAGTGAATGGGTATTACAACAAAAAGTGGCTAAATCCTAATGTATGCATTTTATGTTTGAAAGTTGAAAAAGATATCAACCATTTCATTTTTCATTGTCAGTACAGCAAAAATATTTAATCAGCATTGCTTGAAGTGTTCAATATAGCATGGCATTTTAATCTTAGAGCAGAAAATAATTTGTTTCCGTTTCAAAAGGAAGGTGGATCACTAGTGGATTAATTCAGTTAAGGCTTTGATTTGGGGTCAAATAAAAAAAAATTGGGGCATTTGGTGGAAAACAAACTCAAGAGAATTAAAAGATAAAAGTTTATTGCAGGAAAAGAGATTTGATTTCATAAACCAGGCAGCAGCTTTCTAAATATTTTTGCAATAACTCCTCTGAAATTTTTGCTTGTTGAAGTTGTTTTCTGTGTAATTCATTTCGAGACTTTGAGTTCGTTAGTTTGGGAGGGTTTAGGTTGATAGTATTCTGTTTCTTTGATTATTTTGTGTAACTTTTCACATAAAGTTCTGTTTCCTTCCCCCAAAAAAAGAGAACGAAGAAAAAAGGTTTTTTTTTTCTGCAAAGGAAGAAAAAGGGTAGAGGCATGGGGAGGGAAAATCCCCTCTAAAAGTAACCGGCGGGAGGGGGGGTGGGTATATTACCTATGTAGTAAACTAAATGTACTCCCCCAATCAAGCGTACAGTAAAATATTGCACAGTATTGACTAGCTAAAACTTTGCTGTCGAGTTAGAAATATAAAAGGGAATTACATCAAATATGAATTTCATGTCTCTAGCTTGAAAATTAAATGGCTATAAATCTTAGAAATGCCTAATTAAACCCCAATTCCTCACGCATCTCATCTCAGACATTGTTGCTTTTCTTTTGAATAATTACTCACAGAATAAATCTCACTTCCTGTAATATTCTATATTTATATTTCATTGTAATAGAAGCAATAAGAGAAACAGAACTAAGAAATTTGAAGCAACTGCACATACACCATTAGTCAAACATACCCGAGGTGCACGTGCACCCATTTCTTGAAATGCTTGAGGATTTTGTAGAAATGCCACAACTTCATTGATCTCCTCTCTCATTGACTCAATACTAGCAAAGTCTTTCAAAGGTATTGATGGATTTTTCACCCTCTGCTAACCACAAACGGATCATAAATATATTTAAGCAGTTCCTTCACCACAGAAAAACAGTAGAAAATAGAAATTCTACCATTTGGGTCTAACCTTCATTCTATCAAATGCACGTGTAATTGGGTCAACACCAGCCCGCTTCTTATGTTTGATTTTCCTCATCCTATAACTAAGATAGGATTTCTGCAGAATAGCACTGAAATTAGAATTCTCAACTGAGTGTCCAAATTCCAAAGAGGAATTTTATTGTGCTGCAGCTCAAAAAATAAATAAATAAAAGGAAAGGTCTCGTTGGGTACAACCAACTCTGCAGCTAAAAAGGCTAATCACACAACACATATCATCAAACATTTTGTGCAATTTGCATGCAGCAAATGGACTTCAATATAAACTTGGATTAGTACACAGACCCATAGAATTATGGTCCAGGACATAGACACGCTGCATCAATAAAATCGATGAAAGAACTTGTTTACAGCCAGCAAATATCAAAAAGTAAAACAGACATCCCAATCTCAACACTCTTTGGGCATTAGCGCAGAGCATAACAGTAGCCAGATTAAAAGTCAAGAGTGTCTGACATGTGTTCAAGAGGAATTTGCCCGTAGTGTATGAACCACATCATCCAAGTCCTCAATACGATGGATATTACTATTCCTATCATGGAAAATTTAACGGCATGATTCCATGTCTCCAATGTATTCTCAAAAGGGGTGTTGTAAAATTTTCAGTATACTCATCACAGAACATAAGGATGAAATGGTACTGGCAATGAGATACTGGCACCATGCTATGTATCATCATCATGAAGAAGGCAACAGAAAGGAAATTTACAGTCCCATGTATTGCCTTAAGCAACACCGTGTCAAGATCATAATAAGCACCATATCTATAGCTAACAGTCAATAAGGAGCAGTGAGTTACCACTCTCCCTAACTTCCGCAAATTTGGATTCCTACGAACTGGTCCATAGCCCAGAAGCCTTGGCACTTTTCTCTTCATAAAGGAGAAGATATGAAACAAAATATATCCATATACAACACTTCTAATGATAAACCAAAGAAACCACTGGAAATCATCTGTTTTTCTGGATCTAAAATTAATTTCTGCCTCAGATTGCCATTTCAAGTACCATGTTGAACCAACAGTTTGATCTATTTCCTCTGGCCATGCCATCCCCAACCGGAGTCTTATCTGTAATAGAATAATAATAGTAATTGAAAACTTGAAACAAAAGCAAATATTTTTAATAAAATAAACATTCTACAACAATTAAAATGAAAGATCTAATACCGGATAAGGGACTAAAAACTCCACAGTCGGAAATACAATCACCATCATTAAGTCATCATTTATATTTTTTATTTTCTCAAAAACCCAACTTCTCCCATATGATACAACTCTAGTCTTCCACAATGCATTCAAGCAACTCTGAGACAACCTTAAGCTTAGGATGAACTGTTGATAGATATCCAACTCTGAGAATGGGATCCACATCAAGTGAATAGTTGTTGGTATACCACAGGCAAGCATTTTCATATATAGTCCGTCAAAACCTCCAAAATCTTCAAATATCATTTCAAATTCCTGATGAAGATTGCAGAATTAGAATAAAAGTGGAAATAAGGTACAAATAAACAAAGAATAATGCATGTGTGGCTTGCCTTAATGTCCAAGAAAAATTCCTTGTCGTCCCCCTTAAGTGAAATATACATCGCGGCCCAATCATGCCTTATTCGGGCATGATCTACTAGCCTCTTTTCCACCGCATAAGGAACAGCCATCGGATCAATTTCCCACCGTTTCTTTTCTTCATTGTACCACGTATTTGCTACAACTCTATCTCGGTCAAGAAGAATACGCTCCTGCAATTAAAATAGCTGCTAAAGGTAATATCAAGGGTGATGCAATCATATAAAAGTTAAGCAAAAAATGTTTACCATAAATATTAAAGATAGCTAAGTAAAGATAAAATGTGTCACAGAAAAATATTTTTGATATAAAGTTTATGACATCCAAAAATCCCGAACACATGAATTGTAGTACATGATTAAACAGTACCTGTCTTTGGGCCACATATTTTTTACCAAATTCCACATTTTCTAATAGGTTTCTTTTTAAATCTGCCTTTGCTTCTTCACGCCACTTCTTCCAACCATGGAATAACTGAAGACTAATAGCTTTAGGAACCACAACTTCCTTATCACCAAACATCCACTTCAACTCAACTTCTGGAAAACCCTTCACCACCTCGTCCTCTGGGGTGTTAACAACAAACCGTCTTTCGTCACCAAACTTCTTCATATTCTTTCCCAAACGAGCCTCCATATTCTTCTGCATTGCCCTAGAATCTTTAAGACCTTGACTTATGCGCTGAGCAAAATCAACTGCTTCTTGATCTAAAAAATTTCCAAGACTATCACCTTGAATGACAGTAGGAAGAATAATTTGCTCCAACTTTTTTCTATGCATATTTTCCAAATCTTTCTGAATGTAATCTTTAGAAAGCTTTGTAAGAGATTGTTTTGCCATTCTGCAACCAAGAAGCAAAAATTTATTATAAAACTTAAATCATTTGTTTTATTTCAAAAGAGTTACATCAAGGGGAAATACAAATATCACAAAGTTCAAAAGAAATGAAATCATGTAACAAAGATTGAAATCAAATAAAAATACATATTATCATACAATCACAAAGCATGTTAGATGGCTAAAAATCATGGAAAATAATTTATGGTATGTGCAGAACATATCGCTAAAATATAAATCATTTACAAGGAAAAGGAGCATTATCAATTCAAAAATAGTAAATTCCTATGCAAAAATTACCTGGATTTTTTTCCTCGTTTTTTTTTTTTTTTTTTTTGCCTATTGTGCAAACTTTTCCAAGAATTTTGAAACTTGCACAGGGTAAAGACTTGCTTGTGAAAGAAAATTTGGGAAGAAAATATAGCCAATTGAAGCATCGTGACGAGATGAAATTTAACCAAATAAAAACTAAAGGAATATCAACTGTTCTTGAGGAATTTCATATTAAAAAAATTCCAGAACTTGATTTGTATTTATATTTGTAGTGTTCAATCTCTCATGTATAATCCTTTTATGCTCTCTCTCGGATGTAACTTTGATTTGACGGCTGTTGGTCTTATTCTTTTTTTTTTCTTTTTTTTTTTATACTCGTGTGTCTGAAACCAAGTTGCGCGCACCTCGACTAATCACGGGCCAACCGCCTGACCCTACTACATTCGGTTGACAAAATAACCCGTAGGATATTAAATCCTAAATAGGTGGCCACCATGGTTTGAACTCATTCCCTCTAAACCCCCTTGTTATTTACATTCCCTTATTGAACACTAGGTCATCTCATGATGGTTCTATTGGGCTTATTCTCGAATCAAAGAAGTCGGTATCTTCAACTTCTAGCATGTTGAAGAATCTTTAAAGTCTTCGACTTTGAGTTTTGTTGAAGACTTGGTTATCCAGTTTGATGAAATCTTCGACTTGTAGCTTGATGAATAAAAGATCCAACTCTCGAAGTTTTCGATTCTTTGAGTCTCCAATCCTTCAAGTCTTCAACTTTTGTAGTCTCTAGACGCTCGTGGATAATTCTGATGGCTCTAAATCTCCAATTCTTCTAAATCCTTCTGAAAATATCAAATGAGAGGTGACCCCCTCTATATATAGAGTTTTGGTGCATCTTATGTGGGTCATGGGCTTAATGGGTTTGGGTCCAATCTCCTTATGGGTTGATCTAATTAGCCGATGTCATCGGATGGCCATAAGAAAGCCATTTGGCATAACTTTATTTGCCGATTTTAAAATTAATATAGGACCCCTCGGCATGTCTGTTTTGCCTTAGTAGCAAGGAGATAATCGACCACTTGTTCCTCCATTGCAAATTTGCCTCGAAGTGTTGGTCTTTTTTTATGAAGGAATATGGCCTCTCGGGTTTCCTTCCCCATTTGATAGATGATTGGCTTGTTGAAGTGATTCAAGGAGGCTCTCTAAAAGGAAAAACCAAGGTTCTTTGGAGTTGAGCTAGTAGAGCTTGTCTTTGGAGTATTTGGAAAGAAAGAAATCAAAGTACTTTCAAAAATAAGTCTACTCCTTTTAATATTTTTTTGTGAAAATATACAAATTACTATGGCCACTTGGTGCCTTACTTATAGGAGATTCTTTTGTAATTACAATCTAGCTTTACTTTTTCACACAATTGGAAAGCTGTAATGTGGTACACTGGTAGTTTTCCAAGGGAGGGCCTCCTCAGCCCTTGCCAGTAGGCTGTTTTCTCCTTTTGTTTTCATATATTCCGTTTCTTATCAAAAAAAATAATAATTTAATATAGGATACATGTAAATTTGTGATTGGTCCAAAATATAATTTTAAAATAATGATGTGGCAATTAATAATCGACCAAAATTTATCATTCAACATCAAAAATTAATGGAACTCCTAAATAGGATGTGTATCAACACAAGGGATGGTAGAGAATGGTGGTTTTTACAATCCCTGGCTATGTTCTCAGTGAAATGTTTATCCATTTGACAACACAAATGTTAACTTTTTAGGGAAGAAGAGAAAATAGGGAGAACAACAAATAAGATTTCATTGAATTGAATGCCTTGATACAAACCTGATGACCTATTTATAATACTATAATTCCTAATTAAGAAATCTAATTCAAATAATATAATCTAAACTAAACTCATTTCCTCTAAGCTATTTACTATTTACGTTTTTTGAAAAATGCTCTCTCCTCCCTTCCAC